CTACGTTAATAAATCATTAGCTCATCCATGAACATGATTTCTGCCCGAGTCCCGTCGGATTGCATCGGCTGTGGGGATGAAGACGACAACTCCCATGATTCCACACTCAGTCACCGCGTCATCAAACTACGCCTTTGCTTCTTTGTTTATTTTGAATACGCGCCCTCTAGCAGCGAAAAATTACATATTGTGCCTTTAAGTTAGCTGCCAAGGCAACATTTCTAAAGTTTTTAAGTGTAGGGTTTTCATCTAGCATTTACAATATTGTATTATATTATTATTGTATTTCAGCTTTAATTGAATTTAAAAATAGTTTAACAATACGAACACTGATTTCAAAGCTGCTTAACACCCACCAGCAACTTGTTTTCAATTTCACAAATGCTTTCTCAAACACTCGGACATTAAAATCACCTGTCCGAGGGGATGTTTGAAACTTCGTTGAGTTCTTTCGAGCATCACAGACACCATTGTAAAATCACATAGTTAACACTGCAATCAGTGAATGACGCACATGAAAATGAGCGCTGCTATTCCAGGCCTTGATATCACTGATTCTGAGTGTGTCAGTTTCATTCGTAAGATTCATACTGAGAAACCTCTGACGCATTGTCCATAGTCTCTGGAGCGATCCGTGTTATGTCATGGCCAACAGGCTGAGCACTTATGTCGAGAATATCAAACGTGTGAAATCAATCCAAGCTGTCTGAATTTGTTGAAATGCAAGATTTTTATATATCACTTACAGTAATAACTGACCTATCACTGATGGTTCATCCCTAGTTGAATAAATTGTTTAGTTGTTTTTGTTGTGGTGTGGCAGATGGGTATAATTTGTTTGCGTCAAGTCTTCAACAGCAGGGGTCTCTGTCTAAATCTGCTAACATGCCATTTAATAGCCCAGAGAGAACGTTTTGGTCAGCTCACACACATTGTTCTCTAAACATAATACTGAACACACTCACTAATACAATACAGACATGTACAGTATGCTTTTATGTAATTTTCTATAATTAGAAAAACATTTTGTGCCATGCAAGCAATTAAAATCCCTTTCTAGTAACTCCCTTCTTAAACATGCACTTTCACTTCACTGTCAGTATCGGTGACCAACAAATTATATGGCCTAAGTGAATCATGTGCTTTAGTCATATTTGAATTTATTAAAACATTTTTTGGTATGACTCTAAATTGTCATTGGATTCAAAGGTCACTTTATTTCTTCCCTTTCTTTTACAGAACTCAAAGAATGCTCAGGGTCTGGTGGGCCTCAGGAATCTGGGAAATACTGTAAGTATTTCTAAGCAAATCATCTATAGTTTGATTTATAGTTCATACAAAAATGAAAATTCTGTCAAGGGTCACTCACCCTTATGTCGATGCAAACTTCTTTCAAAAACACTCTTTCAAAAGGACTGCAGACTATGTATGCTGAGTAATCATCTCGTTCTCCCCTTTTTCAAATGTTTCTCTGCAGTGTTTCATGAACTCCATTCTGCAGTGTCTGAGCAACACTCATGACCTGAGGGACTACTGTCTGCGTAACACGCACCGCACTGACCTCAACAACAACTCCAGGGCCAAAGCTGCGCTGATGGAGGGTAAGAGACACGTTTACCAATTCATATAGTAGCGCATTCGTTTTATCATACATACCAGACAGCCTTTGGGTCCTGTGTCTTAGTCATATGCCTCCAAATGTGTGTGTTTTTTTATTTCAGAGTTTGCCAAGCTCACTCAGACTCTTTGGACATCAGCTAGCAGTGAGGCCATCAGCCCTTCTGACTTCAAAATGCAGATTCAGAAATATGCCCCTCGATTTGTTGGTTACAAGTAAGTTACAGCTACAGTAAAAGCTTTTGTATCATGCAGATTACTTGTATTCTTTAATATGTAGTTTTGAACTAGCCGAAACTCCCGCTTAAAAATTGACTTCTCTGTTCGGTCCTGTAGTCAGCAGGATGCTCAGGAGTTCTTGCGGTTTCTGCTGGATGGGCTTCATAATGAAGTAAACAGAGTAACAGTGAAACCCAGATCCCTCATGGAGGACTTTGAGCACCTCTCGTAAGTAAATGCACCGGTTTGTTCTAAAAACCTACTAAGGTGTTCAAAAGTTTAGAGTCAGTAGTATTTTTAAAAATAAATTATTACTGTCATTCAGCAAGGAAGCATTAGACTGATCAAAAGTGACAGTAAAGACATTTATAATGTGATGCTAGATTTCTATTTCAAATGAATACTGTTCTTTTGAACTTCGAAAGAATCCTGAAAAAGTATCATGGTTTCACAAAAATATTAAGCAGAACTGAACAGAATTGTTTTCGAACCCGATAATAATAAGAAATGTTTCTTGAGCACCAAATCAGCACATTAGAATGATTTATTTGACCTCACAGGAATAAATTACATATTAAAACGTATTAAAAAAAGAAAACCCCTATTTTAATTTGTAATCATATTTGACAGTATTACTGTTTTTACTGATTTGTAAATCAAAAATACAAGTGAGCATAAGAGACTTCTTTCAAAAATATTACAAAATTGTTGTGCGTATTTCATACAGTACCAAAAATATGATGTGCTGATTGATGTAACAGATGAATCACCTGTAGTGTGTGGTTGAACTGTTGCAATCTGACAGCAATAGTAAGTAGTCTGTCTGGGGTCTTAAATGAAGTGTGTTTTATCTATAGGGACGACGAAAAAGGCAAGAGAATGTGGAACAAGTACCTGGAGAGTGAGGACAGCAAAGTAGTCGGTGAGTTGACCTGCTATATTAACACCAGCTACAGTCTCGCTCGCTGTGTGTGTTTGTCTGTCTTCCCTGCTCCGAATATAAAGTGCTAATGTTTTTTTCACAGATCTGTTTGTTGGTCAGTTGAAAAGCACTCTGACGTGTAGCGAGTGTGGCTTCTGCTCAACAGTGTTTGATCCATTCTGGGATCTGTCCCTGCCTATCGCTAAGGTTAATATGAAGAATGATACATTCAAATACATGCTTACATGACAGCATGTTTGTGTTATTGTTAATGTTTCATGTTGTTTTTTCCCTCAGACTTCAGGAGAAGTGAGTTTAATAGATTGCCTTCGACTTTTCACCAAGGAAGATGTATTAGATGGGAATGAGAGACCAGTAAGTATAAAGTATAGTCAGCATCTATCTATCTATCTATCTATCTATCTATCATAATATGTTTAGACATATCCTAACGGCCTTTTTTTTCTGTAGACATGCCACAGATGTAAAACAAGACGGAAATGCACAAAAAAATTCACCATTCAGAAATTTCCAAAAATCTTGGTGCTTCGTATCCTTTATCAGCAAATCTTGCATCAAAAGAATTGCAAGTTAAATCTAATTTACCAATGTGTATTGATCGATTAAATATGTACTATTGGTAAAATGATGTGTGTATTTGTTTGCCCTTGACTCTCTAACTGTCTCAGATCTGAAGCGTTTCTCTGAGTGTCGAGTCAGAACCAGCAAACTCTCCACCTTTGTAAACTTCCCCCTCAAAGAGCTGGACCTCAGGGAATTTGCCTCTGATAACAGCGGTAGGTTCTGCAGCGTCATTCATTACATCTGTATTCTGTGCAGTAGTTTGAGCAATGCGGTTTTTACTGTAGCTCCAGGATAATTGTGTTTAATTGCTGTTGTTTCTCTTCTCTCTTTACAGTAAATGCAGTCTATAATCTGTATGCTGTGTCCAATCACACTGGTACGTCTTTGGGTGGCCATTACACAGCATATTGCCGCAATCCCTGCACAGGAGAATGGTACACGTACAATGACTCCAGGTAAATAGACATAACAATTTAGTATAAAAAAAGTTTGTGGAGTAATATTATAACTATAAGTGTTTGCATTGCTTTTTAAATCTTAGTTTACAGCATTATAGACTATGATGTAGTTAGTATGTACTGTGGCTCCAAAATGTAGTTGGACATTTAAGTCATTTTATAAGTCTTCAGATTGGGGTCTTCAGCTTTTGGGTTGATATTTCTATTCTATTCTATTCTACTCTATTCTATTCTATTCTATTCTATTCTATATATATATATATATACTGTATATATATTTATACAACAGTTCATTCTGGTTCTCAAATCTATTGGTTGAGAACCGTGAGATATTGTACTGGTATCGCTACAGGAAGTTTCTTATTAGGCGTTGTTTCTTGTTTAATTAAGTGAAAGTGAAAGTGATGTGACGTGACATGTGGCCAAGTATGGTGACCCATACTCGGAATTAGTGCTCTGCATTTATCCCATCCAAAGTGCACACACACAGCAGTGAACACACACCCGGAACAGTGGGCAGCCATTTATGCTGCGG